TCTTAATATTAGTGGCTTCATCCAGATTTGAGTCGTGTCGGGGTTATTCAGAGGTTTTATACATAATTCCTCACATTGTACACCTCCATACTGTGACCTGCTTTTCAGGTAAAGAGTCTCTTTATGAGATTCTGACCTCTCAATAAAGTTTTCTACAAACCTAAAACTAAAAGGCCTTAAAACCCTAATCTCTGAATGAGGATCAGATAAGGATCAAGGTGAAGATTAACTGCTTTTTCCTTTTATTGGTTTGGTTTGGTTTGGTGGTGTACTGCGGGTTCCTGCCCTGTCATGCACTGCACAGGGCTTTGCCTTGGGCTGATTCAGTTCCTGTTGCATGCTAGGGGAAGCTCAGCCCTTTGGGGAAAATTCAGTGTTTCACAGGCAGGAAAAGTCAAGGCCAGATGCTGATTAGCTCAGAAAATTAGTTTTTTCAACTACCAGGGAAGATGGAGGCATGGTACCTCTGCTAAAACTGGAATGATTATTATGTTGTTCACGCTGCTATTTTTTACTCTGTGCCATGTGAAGGGTAAATCTCAGACCTGAACTGTTCTTTCCCTGCTCCTTCCATTGCAGAGCCCTATCCCAGCAGCTTCATCTAGAGCATTAGGTGACAAAACTTGAATTTTTGGATGCTAGGAGAAAACAGTACTGCATCAAACCTTGAGGGTCTTTTCAGAACATCAGGGAAGGGAGGAAAATCCCCATAGCCTAGGATGGATCAAGTGGTTCCCTGACTTTTATTCAGGTTTGTGCTAACTCACTGTCAACTCTCCAAGGAGGATTCCAGGTGTCTGGGCACAACCCCCACGTCTAGTGAGTCACTTGCTGCTGACAAGGAGAAGAAAATAATGCTCGTTCAGAGGCACCTGCCTGGAGCAAACAGTATCATTGGGGCACTGTGGTCCCCTCTGGTCCAAGCAGGTTCCAGGAGCCATGGCAGAGAGGAGATGCCTCCCTCCCGTGCTGGCACTGCAATGCGGATCAGAGCCGGGTGGGCCCCAGGTGCTGCCATTGCCAGGGCAGTCAGGGCGTGGGGTGCTCCTGCCCTGCCACGTGGCTTCCTGAACAAGCAGGGTAGGGAAGAGGGGGCATGAAAAGAGGGAGCAATCCTTTACTGTGGGTCACCTTTGCACTTAGCAAAATCACAGTCTGCTCTCCAACTTGTAACAGCCTCTGGGTACACCAAAGTGGCCGGGGATCCCTGCACAGTTAGTATGGATCCAGCAGCTGGTTCTTTTTTTTGTTTGGTTTAAAAAGGGGGATAAATGATGCTGAAGTTAATTAATTAATTTAATGCAAAGCTGCATCAGAGTATTGAGTATAAGGTCATTAGTACTGTTTAATGCTATAATTCAGTAAGCTTTAACAAAGAATGCATTTCTAGTTTTCCAGAATGACGTTCGACCGTGTGTGTCGCAGAAAGCCCCAACGCACCAAGCTCTACTTAAACCAAGTGACTCCTGCAGGACTTAATGCCCATCATAATATCCCTTTCCACTCTAAACCTTCTCCCACTGCACAGCGCTCCACCACCTCAGTCCTACCCTTAACATGCCAAAGCTCTTACAGATGACTCACAGCACTCAGAAGAGGCAGGATGCGTGAACTTTTAATTCTGTGTACAGAAGCTGCAGGCAGGGACTAATGAGTGAAATGAGATTGAGCATCAGGTGATTGCTTTCTGATTCAACAGATGCGGGGTGCTGGCAGGAGCGTGCGCCGGAAGGTCAGGTTTTATGCGGTGCATAATGGATGGGAGCCTGAGTCATCGGGCGTGGCTGGGCCGGGAGCGGGAGCGGGAGGCGAGCGCTCCCCGGGCTGCAGCAGGGACTCTTCCCAAGTGACATTGCTTCCGTGGCAAAACGGGTTCGGATGTTTTTCTTCTGTCTGCATCCCTCCTTTCTGGAATTATTTCTGATCAGCAAATATAGCCCCCCACCCACTCCCCTCCCCCTGTAAAAGAACTGAGCCCAGATAGTCACCTTAAAAGTCTGGTAAAAAATATATAGAAGACAGAAGTCTCACGAAGTGTGTTTACTGCAAAACTGAAACAGCTACTTTGCTTTCCTATCAACTGTTCTTTGACCAAAAAACAACAAAGAAGAGCTAAGCTTGAACATCTGTGTCTAACATGAGACAGTCTTGTATGTCGGATGAGTACTGAGGAAGTGTTTCATAGGAGAAGCACTGGGAGGGAAACCAAAGCAGGATGGTGTCTGAATTGAAGTGCGTGTGTTTGGCCCACTCAGGAGCTCACATTCGTGGCTTGAGATTTGCACCTGCTCTGTTCACTGCTGTGCTCCTGCACGTGTTTGTGTATCACAGGTATCGTTATTAAATCCAGCTCACGGCAATGCACATGCATCACATGCACCACTGGGAACTGCAGTTTACAGCAGTAACAAGTATAATAAAGTACAAAGATTTCATCTCTTCAGTTTCAACACAGTTCAGGAGGGTGGAGTGAAATGTTGAGAGCATATTATAGTAGAACAGTTTTGTTCTGCTCCAGGCAACAATTGCCATCACCAAAATAAATCAACAATCGAGAATAACATTCAATAATATGTAACATGCGTCAGGCAGAACAGAGCTGGGCTGGATCTGTTGTTATCAGGGCACTGCACCTGTTTTGCTTTTAGGGTTGTTAATGAGAAGGAGATGTGATTTGTAGCTGTTTTCTCCCACCACACCCATGGATGCTCCACTACCATGGAGTCAAAGACCTGCCTGGTTCTCTATTTTTGTCATTTTGATGGTTGGCCATAGAAATCCTTCTGTTGTATCAGTATGGGAAAGTTGAAGAAAGCCTGTATAGGTGCAGATAATTTACAAAATACGGTAAGGTGGGACAAGTGGAATGTTTTGGTATGTGTTTTTTTAAATTGTAACAGAGATAAATTCAATCCTTTATTTTTCCAATGTATAAAGCACCAAGTTACTGTGGGGGCTGCCCATCTACCATATGATTTAGCTTGTCTGCTGCAGTATAAAGGTAGAAGGGATATATAGCTGGTCACTTGAAGCGTGGAGGAAAATCACAGAGATTAATTATTCCTTAGGGCTATTTGTGATGCAAACTGAATGCCTTCACATCCTGTTAGCTTTTCTGCCTTGAGAACAGCGAGATAAATTACAATGTAAGTATACATATGGTGTACTTGCATAATCTGAGATAAAACCATCTGCATTCTGTGTACTGCTGTGAGCAGGCACTTACAGCCTAGGCTGAGGCACTGAAATGGGGATCTAGTTAGTAGGTGTGTAGTAGGTGGGCAGTTCTGTAAATTCAGCTTTAAGGTTCTCAAGTCTTTGAGAAAATAGAATGAGATTTTAACTGACTTTCTGCTGAAAGGCAGGAGAGAGTCACAGATGTGACTCCTTGTCTTGGGAGACTGAAGTAGGTGATATTTTACCAAGTGACTTCATACACAGTCATTTTTACAGTTAGCTTAATATTGATTTACCACTATTTAACTGTTCTTTTAATTTTGGAAATATTCCAGGGAACAATTTTTCATACTCCAGGATGATACAGTAAAGATTTTCCAGGTCTAGGCATCTCCAGATAATTTGTTATTGAAGTTCTCCAACTCTCAGCACGAAGGTACTTACTGACTTTATTGGGGAGGGAAGCTGGTCTCTTTTTCTGGCTCTACAAATGGCTTGTGTCTGAGCAGGAGGTGCCAGCAGCACTGTAGCTCCCTACTGCACTTGATAAGACCAAAAAGCCGTATGTGTCCAGAAACCTGGTTTCTTAGCCAGGTAGCACTGATGGACTGTGTTTCCTTTCGCAGGCACCAAAACCAAGGAAGGCGTGGTGCAAAGTGTGACCTCAGGTAAGAGCACAGCCCTGAGAGAGATGTGGGAATCTGTGATGGTTTGCCAGATGGGAGGTCTGTTGGCAGCACCGCTGACGTGTGACCTTCCAGATGATGAATGGAGGATGCTTGCCAGGAGCGATGGTTCAGGGTCTGGCATTTGCAGTGGACACAGATGGGAGAAAATATTTAATCATTATAGAACAGGTCAAAAAAATCTAACAAAGGTTACTTGGCAGACTGGGATGATTCACGGCAATTTAGACATTTCACAGTGTCAAGTGCATGCCCAGCATGCAGAGTTCCTGTTGGGCCAAAACTGTGGTCTTTGGGAGACTCGTGTCAGGCACAGAATCAGGGTCCTTCTAGGACCGAAACTCCAAGGCAGAGCAGCCATATGAACTGCCTTGAAGGGAGATAAATGGATCCTTTCCCTGGAGAATTTAATAATAATTACTTTTTTCTACCCAGGAGTATTAAATCAAACAGAAGTTACCCAGGCAGAGGTCATGCACAGTCAACAATGCAAAATACCTCAAACGCACTTTGTCTCTTAGTATTTGACAGTGAATTTTTCATTCTGACGGTAAATTTTTCATTCTGCAGTTGCCCACAATGACTGACAGGCTGCAGTGCTGCTCTCTGAAGAGCATTTTGAGTCAGACAAAAACCCTCACGTCCATGATGTAAATTCAGACGTGATCTCATCTAAAAAAAAAATCCAAACAAGGACTGTACAAGGGCCAATTTCTTCTTTTACCTCAGTGCATTCATGTTATTGTTCCAGGGAATTTGGCAGTCTTTTGGCAGTGTCTAGCTCACTGACTTTCTGCTTTTGTTGAAACCCCAGTTGCTGAGAAGACCAAGGAGCAGGCCAATGTGGTGGGAGAGGCTGTAGTAGCCAGCGTGAATACAGTGGCAAACAAGACTGTAGAAGGAGCAGAGACCATCGTGGCCACTACAGGAGTTGTAAAAAAGGTATGTTTGTTTCTTCGGTGGTGTGCAGGACAGAAGAGTCACCTTTGGATTACACTTGAAATACCTTCAAACATTTACAGTTGATGGTTTTACTTATTTAATGAATGGTTATCAGCATTATCTGCTTGGTATAACACTTCATATTATCCTATAATGCATAATATAGTCACAGAATCATTTAGTTTGGAAGGGACTACTTGAGATCATCTAGTCCAACCTCCTTGGGACCAGTGAGAGAGGACTGTGTCCAGCTGAGTTTTGAATATCTCCACAGGTAGAGACTCCCCGGTATCCCTGGACAACCAGTGCCAGTGTTTGACCACCCTCACAGGAAGAGAGAGAAGTGTTTTCTTCTGTTCAGGTGGACACTTTAATCAATTTGTGCCCATTGCCTCTTGTCCTATCAGTGGGCACTGCTGGCAAGAGTCTGGCCTTTCATTTTCTTACGAATGTAGAAAAGCATTTTCCCCAGGGACTTGAGCAGAACTGCAGCTGGGCTGCAGTGAGCACCTGGATGGAGTCAGAGCTCTGGGATGTGCAGGGTGGGAAGGCACTGGAGCTCAGCACTTGCCCTCGCTCCTGTGCTGTGCTGGTGGGATATGCAGGCTCGGCCCCGGCAGCTCCAGAGGCAGCAGAGGGCAGCAGCAATTCAGGCACGGCTCGGTCACAGCAGAGAGCCTGACCCTGCTGCTCTGCTTCCTGATGGTTTTGACAACATCCAAGCACTTATTGATAAAGGCCATGTGATTCAAATTGTGCACACAGATTCAGCCAAATTCAGACAAGGCATCTTCTGTCCTCCTGCCTAATTTGGCAAACTGGACTGCTTTGAGTGAGGAGATTAAGGGGCCTGTGAAGGAGCAGAACAGTTCCCTAGATGAAGGCAGTGTTGATCATTAGAGAAGATGCTTTCCCCGGGGGGTAGCAAACAGCAACTATTTGTACAGCACATGAGGTTAATACTTGGCAGCTCTTGGGTGAGCCCAGCTCTTTCCCCTGTTCAGAGAGCTGTGATCACTGCCGTTGATAGCCACATGAGCTGGATGAGTCACAACAAACCCAAACCTGGAATCAAAACAAAGCCAGGCTGGCCAAAATTGTTTTAATTGTTCAGATAGTCGGCTGATTAATTTCCTGACCTGCACGTAAACACATTGTGATGTGAAACAAAACTTCTACACAGCATATAAATCCTGGGAGAACATCCTAACAAAAGAAGGGAACAGCAGCTACCAGTGACGCCAAATGTCCTCCTGAAAGCATGTGAAAAGGGCAGATACAGGAGTTCTGCTAAGCCCTTGGGATAAGATTAATCTCTATTCCCACAGGGAATAGGAGTTAGGCTGTAGGAGCAAACAGTGATTCCTAATTCCATGGGGCAATAACACCCCCTCCAACCTTTTGGCTGACCTAGTACAGGGTGATTGACCCAGGAGAGTGAGGAATTTGCTGACAGTAGGAATCCATCCTGCAGATATTGGACTGTCTCCCCTCTGGCCAGGACTGAGCAGCAGCAATCCTGTTCCCCTTTCCTCCTAAGTGAGAGCCCTACCTCAAAGACTGACAACTACAATTTACAGCTAATTTCAGAGTTTAAACCAGTGAATGTAACTTGTTTCCACCCTTGTGAAGGCAGTCCTTCAGAAAATCAATGATTCCTTCACCCTAGTAGAGGTTCTGGTTTATGCAGACTGCAGGCAATAAGCAGAGTTTTTGGAGGGTTAAAGCATTAAGCGTTTGAACTGTCATTCTGGCATCTTCCCTTGATGTCTGACTGCTGAGAGTTAAAATGGAGATCGATCAAGAAATAAAAAATTAGGGTGTGTCACATGCCAAAGGGCAGACTAAGTGGAACCAGGAAACTGCTTTGGACACAGCACCATGGTGTCATGCCAAACAGCAGAGATGGGCAGCAGAATGAAAACAGGAGGAGAAAAACAAGACAAAGTCAAAGGAGAAAGGAATTCAGGAAAAAAATATTTGTTTCTGTGAAAGAGGGGTCATCTATTCTACTGGTTTAGCTCAGCTTAGGAGTGCAAACCTTTTATTCATGCTCACTCACCATACTTTAGCATCAAGCTAGACATGGAAGATTGAGCTCCGTGAGCACACCGAGTGCCTCCCAACTGCTAATGGTTAATTGCCTTGGAGCCAGAGCTGCTCCTGAGGGAGGGCCCTGAAAGGGTATATAAAGGGACTGTGCTGGGCTCTCAGCACCAGCTGCTTTTTCTCCTCGTCTGCTCTTCTTGTGCTGCACAGTTTGCTAATGGAGACATCCAGAGCCTGTCAAGAGCAGCACCGGGCACTATAATGCCTGTGGGAGACCCACTGAAGATACAGTAAGAGTGATAAGTTAAAGCTTTTAGATGTTTAAACAGTGAATACCTACTATTATCATCTTGCAGTCCTGGGGTCCTACACAAGCCTTTCAGCCCTTGAAGTTTGAGGGAGCTGTTAAATCCAGTTCTGAGACTTCTTTGTGTTCCATCCTGTCCTCCTCCTTTCTAATTGCACAGAGCAGTTGCTAATGCCTTAATTCGGTTTTCAGCTGCTTCCAGTGCTGTTCCCTGCTGCCTTTACAGAGGGGTTGTTCAGAGCACCAGGGATCTGTGGGAGTGCCTGGCACCGAGCAGTGCAGGAGGGTGACTCGGGTCTGGAGAGCCAAGTGGCCTAGGAGGCATGTCCCCAGCTGAGCTTTCCCAGTATTAATATCAATTACAGAGAGCTCGTTGACATTTAATCTGCCTGTTTGACAGCTGGCATGGTGGGCGGGAGAGGGGAACTCGAAGGATTCTGAGTTAAGTTTTGCTCATGACAGCAGCCATGGGTTGGTTCAGTTCTGTGGGTGTGTCACATGGTGAGCTGGGTCACGGGAAAGAATTCAGCCCTCTGTAGGATCATGGCAGGCACTGAAATGTGGACGCATTGAAATGTGGACACCCATGGGGCAGTTGGCAATCTGCTGCTCCTTGCTGTCCTTGGCGGGAGCACTCAGAGCCATGCAGAAGGAAATGAGGCGGGAGTAACCCTACGCCTATGGAGGGGTGCCAGGTACCAGATGAGAACAACCCTGGGTGGTGTTGGCATCACCTGATAGGGCTTTGGCACTGACCTGGCCACTGCTCACTGAGTGCAGGAAAGTACTGAATGATTTGGGGGAGTTTTTAAGTATTAACTAAAAAATATGTAAATTAAGAGATTATAAACTGACTGCAATATTTCTGATCCACATGGGAATGAAACCCATCAGTAATCTGTTCTGTCTGTGGCTCTGCACCCATCCCCATCCCTGGGGTGGACATTAGAGATTCCAGTGAGATAACCACCCACTACATATCCCTGTCTTAGAAGAGGATTAATTCTTCGTCTGCATGACGCAGCACAGAGCTTGCTGCAATGCAGACACCACGTGGCTGGGAACGAGGGCATGTGCGTACACACACTCACAAAATGTCCCTCAGGGAGTGGAACAATTTCCCCAGCATGATGCTTCCCTACACCCTCCACCTAGATCTTCTCCTTAGATCTTTTTGTCTCGTCAGTTTTTATGATTTACTTGTCAGCTCATGACTGTCACTTTGAATTGGGTTTGATCCTTCTTTTATTTCGCTCCATTAATTACCGGCGCAGTTGTCAGTTATGTTCATCCTCTGGGTGTGCTCTCTGGATCACGGCGTGTCCCTGGGCACCTGATCCGGTGCGCGTGAGCCGCACCCACACCGGGGCTCGTCGCTCTCGTAACAGCTGCACGTTTCGGATGTGAACACTCATGGCCTTGGTTCTGTTCACTCACACCCTGCAACGCCACCGAGGCCCAGGCACTCACACCGAAGGAATTAGAAGCAGAGACTGAGTGACCTCCCTGTTCAAGTTAGTTTGGGCAGGGCAAGTGCCACTAGGAGAGAGCAACCAAGGGCATTTGGAGAGGCCAGCGAGGGCAGAGCTGCTGAGCAGGAGGAGCAGGGAAATCAGCAGCTAAACTACCTTACAACTAAGTAGAATAAATAGTTGAAACTCTTCCCCTTGACATTCAAGCTTCTCTGTCCTTGGTTGATGCAGTGATGCATCGCAGTGGTGTCTGTCCACATCTCATGGAGCAGGGGAGACTGCAAAAGGAGTGTGGAACAGGCTATTCTACCTACAGGCACTTTTTCTGTCCTTCCTTCTCGGTTCTCATTAATGCATCCAGGCATACATCTTCCCTTGAAAAATAGCTGAGTTAATGGCACTGGTGAACCCTAAAGTCTACAAGACCTTGTGTCTGCCTCATGGCTCAAGGCTGTGCCTCAGCAATCCTGTAGGATACATGGTTAAATGTGCATTATTTCTATAAGCAGTCCCAGGAAAGTGTCAGAGAGTCTGGCTGTGTGAGCTGGATGAAAACAAAGCCACCCCAAGAGTCCGTCTGGATTTGCAGGGTAAGACAGGACTCCCGTGTGCCCGTCTGTCTGTCTGTCCTCTTGGTGGGTCCACTCTAGTCACGGGTTGATCTCTTGGAGCTGTCAGCATCACTCCAAGCACATTCAGCCTGAAACCTGCACAGCACAGCCTGTCCATAGGACCTGTCAGGTTGCCTGAGGGTTTACGAGGGAGTGGTGTGGGGAGACTGCCAAGAACCACTGTGTTTGCTCCAACGCCCAAGGTCAGGAGCACCACAGGAGGCTGAACCTCTCTGCCTTATGCAATTGATCTCCCATTGAGGGCTGGTAAATTTGTAGCAGATGGGGCTGCCAGCAAACCTCTCTGGCTTTACAGCATAATAATAATAATAATAATAATAATAATAATAATAATAATAATAATAATAATAATAATAATAATAATGAAATCTTGCTCGTCACTGAATTTTTTTGAGAATTCAATGAGTCATATTCCAGCATCCAATATTGGAGGTTATATAAGGAAAATAATAGTAATAGCGTTGTTTTTGTCCAAATTTTTGGGAACAGCAAAAAAGACCCACTGGCTTATAGCATAATATAGATAAAAATGTAAATTCCATTTCACATATGGACTTGGAACATACAACTCAATTGCTACGCTGAAAAAGGGAATTTCATAGAACCTGGGGAAAAAAAGAAATCTGAGAAATGAAATTATAATTAATTATTTTTCACTATTTCTGGGTTTTCAAATCAGTTTAAAAAAATATTAAAATATCTGAACTCAGGAGCCTGTAGTATAGTCTATTTAAGCTCTCTTAACATTACACAGGAATATTTTTATAAATACCATATCCTAATTTGTTGAGTTTTTCATTAGTGACAGCTGAACATGTACTTATGTTTCATAACCTTAATGAAATATTGTTTTTTATATATATAAATCTTCTATAGTGTATACATTTTATATAGGAATATATTTTTATATTCTTATAATATTTTAAAAATTGTGTGATATTCCTGTAAGAAATTCTAAGGTCTTGTGTTTCATTTAACTATTATAACCTTAACTATAAATACTCCCTTAACTATAAGTCCTTAATTTTTCTCTCTTCACTAGCAAAAAAAAGATTCAACTTCTCCCCCAAAAATAGAAGAAAACAGCCCATAGCAAACTGATTTTTTTTTTTTCATTTAAAATATTTATTCTAAGGCCTGGCATAACTTTTGAGGAGACGAAATCTTCTTTCCCTTTAAGAGCAGGTGGATGGACCATTACTAATTGCTTCATGGTTTCAACATGCCTTTCCCTCAGAAAATCTTATCCCTTTTGATGAGCAGATGAGCAGTGAAAGGGATGGTAAAACTCTTGGTGTCCCCCAGAGAAGCTGGATTTTCACCCTTGCTCTCTTGCCCAGCGCTGTGCTGTGGGTCAGTGTTATTGCTGGAGCTCGTTCCTGGGGATCTCTGGCTCTTTGTCCAAAGTGAAGACCCTTCCATCGCATGGTCCTCCTCTGTTTCCCTGAGCAGTCCCTGCAATCCCCAGCCAGCTACCACCCAGCTGAAGAATGCAGTCCTTCCTCATCTGGGGATCGCTATTCTGGGCAGGGTGGGAAGCGCGTGAGAAAAAGGCTGTGAGGTGACATCCCTAACACGGCCTGACACCTCTTCATCCTGCAATTGTGCTGGTTCCTCCACCAAAGTTTAGAAATACTATCCAGAAGCATGCTTGTTTCCCTTTCTAAAAATAGACAGTTGATTTTTATCCTTCTGGAGCAGAGTCTTGGCAAGGAGAGCACGATTTAAGGGGTATAACAAGCAGCACACAATAGCTGAACGAGGATTCTTCAGCCCATCCGTTGCTCTTGGATGCAGTGTCCTGAGGGTGGTGCTGAGAAAGGTATCCCCTTCCCATGACTCTTTCCACATCTACCACAGCTGAGCTCCCTGCCCACAGGAACAGTGAGTGGTCATACCCTGTAGAAAGACGGAGTGCACTGCACTTTTCCTTGTGTTCCTGTGAGCTGTTCTCCCGTTTCCCCAGCGCAGCTCACCACCTTAGGCAGTCGCCTTTGATTGGCCTTCATGATTTCACACCGCAGCTGGTAACTCCACCTGCAGAACACCTACGAGACACCTGCTGTTGCAGCTGCTGTCAGTGGGTTGCTCTGCAGATTTCTTTCCTTTCCACCTCACAGTCAAAAAACCTACTTGTAAAGCTTCAGAATACCATTTGAGGCTATTTCCCTGCTTTGGCCTAACGTGTGCTGTTGAGTTATAAGGCGTAGTCCTTTTTATACAGGCTGTATCCTGAGGCTGGATGAGCCTGCATATTCAGAGTACTGAGCTCTTTGCTGACTGCAGGGGAGTTGCATCTCTGAAAGGCTGTGCTGAGTGGCTCCATCGGAGCAGTGGCCTCTCCACAACAGCCACAGTCCCTGCTGTGCTGGGAGAGCCTGGCTTCCATCATGTGCACAGTTTGATGTCATTAACTTACCTGGGCTTACTTAAAACATCTCAGGCCAACAATGCAGTGCAAATTAAGGGCACAGCCCTTAGGAAAGGGTAATCTCACTGTGCTTCTCATCTGGAGACAGCCCAGTGCATGGTGCTCTCCATAAACAAACTAATTAACTCTAGTCTCAGCAGGGAGATGAAGGGAATGTCTGCAGCTGTGACAGACATCAGTACTGCAGCTCATATTTTGGCTGTTTTCTGGTTTTGGTGGATTGATCTCATGGTAACTTGCATGGAGAGCAGGAAGCCCATAGATAGGACAAGTGGGTTGCAGTGCTTCCATCTTCCTGCCACAAATGGACCTGACATCCAATTTCCAGCTTAAATTTTCATGGGCTCTACCTTATATCTATGTAACTCTGTCTATTTTTCCCTTTTTATTTCATATCACATCTTCTTCCATAATTCACTCCCAAAAGCAGCAGGAGTGCTCTCCTAATGATGAGAACAGTTGTGACTGAACTGGAAAATAAGGACACGTGTCAAAATTAAGAGTGGAGTTCCCCAGACACACAGAGCATGACGTTCTGTTTACTGGAGGTTTGGCAGGGGCATTTGATTTGTACTGCATCAACAGCAGCACCAGGGAAGGGGGTAGCCCTGTGCTTCAAAATGTTAAAATTCAAATGATAAATCTGCCCTGCATGCAAAACTGACTTTCCCTTTATGTAATATATGCAAAAATGCCTATGTAAATACTTGGACTCAAACACAAATCCCTTGATAATGACACTTTATCTGAAGCATGACATTAACACCACCACAGTACTGCTGTATCTTAAGTTAGTTTTGGTCTATGCAATAAGTGCTATGGGTAAGTAAGATAATGTGGGGAAAGGTTTGGCGAAGTCTTACTGTAGGTAAATTTATTTGTTCCGCCCAAGTTTCTTCGCACAGAAAGAGTCAAAACTCCGGTCTCAGTGACAGAAAAAGAACTGATTTTCTGTATGAAAAAGACCCTAAACCAGGTGGTAGGAGAATGAATTGCTTTTTCATAGATATCTGCTCCAACAAGCTGCACAACAAAAGTGGATCCCAATCAATATTAAAGCCAGTGTTTTATTTGGGTGCGTAACGCTCAGTTACTGTCGCGCAGTCTGCTTGAAGGGCCTGTCTAAGATTAGGGCGATGACTCTGCATGTGGCAGCAAGGACAAACATCTTGCTTGTGACTTGGCAGGAGGACCTGGCAGCGCCACAGCCTCCGGAGCAGCCCCGGGTGGCCGGAGAGGGGGCCCCGGCGCCGGGCACAGGCGGTGCAGAGGTAAGGGGGGTGCCAGGGCCCTGCCTGCCCACGGGGTCTCGGGGCCACACACGGGCTCTTTCTGGGGTACTGCTTCCCCCCACCAGAGAATACCCCTTTGCATCCTGTGGTTATGGATCTGCCGTGTCAGGTTCCCATCAGTATTCCCACCTTGCTGAGTTATTTGATGAAAATCTGAGCTCATCAGTTCTCGCTTTTGCCACTTCCTTTTTTTTTGGGGGGGGGGGACCAACAATTTTCTATGAGTGACAGACTGAACAGAGTGTAAACTGCTGCTTGATTTGAGTTGATTTTTTGGATGCACATATAATAGTTAGTGCTTTCGTTTGGTTTTGTCATGACATGAAAGAGCTTTTTCCTGGTTGCAGCTGTGATTTAGAAGAGCTTTAGATAAAAAGTTAGATTTTTCTGTAGATTTTTCTACATTTAAATAAGTTCTTTTAAGTTTTGATCTGTTCTGCCTGCAATGTCCTTTTGAAGCCCTGGGTCAAATGTCGGTCTTTGGGCCACTTTCAGCTCTTGAACAAGCATAACTTATTGTCCATCAAGGATGCTTCAAAGGGGCAAATGCTTCTCGCATGGTATTTCCTTTATGATTTCAGTCCTAAGGCCTTTGTCTGCCCACTCCACAAGTACTGCATGCACCCAAACCCCACGTTTTTCAGCTTTTCCAAAGCTCAGACTATTTTTTGTGGTCTCAGCTTCCACCTACCGCTCTCTGCCAGCCATCACCCCTGCTGCCAGTCCCCGAAAAGAGCCCCTCTGATCTGACTGACTCTTTGGCTGCACCAGTGCTCATGTCAGGCTGCAGGAGCAGACCCAGCAGCAGAAAGCAGGACACTCCTGCTGGTGGCAGCCCGGCCCCACATTAGCTCGACTTCCACCATCTGTGAGCTCACACCCTCATTTTCCCTGAAGGTCTGAGTTACAGTGGGAGTGTGTCTGGTTTCCAGAATGAATGGATATTTCATTTATTTTCTGCATCATGTATGGTCCTTATTGTTTTGTAGCTGTTTATAATTTTTTTGTGTGGTGACTATTGGCATTGATTTTTCTCCTAATTTTATTTATATATGTTTTCCACTGGAAATGTTTTACTGTTTTCCTCCCTGTCTTCTCTCACAGGGTGAAACTGAAGGCGATCCATCAAGTTAGGGAGTCCCAGCTCAAAAGAGACCATTCCAAGAGCATATGTGGAAATATTAGCTGACACTACAACAGGAAAATCCCACTGTCCATAGACTAACTACATTCAGCTTTGTAGTCCTTCACTTGCCTCAAAAACAGTTGTACAATATACGTAAACCAGACTCCTCTGTAAGTAAAGTGCAGGTGTGTACCGGGGTGTGTCCTTCCCCACCTTCCTCCTGCCTTCCCAACCCACTTGCTTTGCATCTTTTGGTTGGGCTCACTGGTCTGTGTCTCTCGTCCATCAGCACTGGCACTTGGGATCTCTAGGTATTGTGGAAATATTTTTTTTTTTAACTAATAAAAAAGTGTTTGAACACGTTTTTTGTTTTGTCGGTTTTATTTGCACGTTTTAGATGGGGACACTTCTGAACAGGTGCACTCTTCCTGTAAAAGTGCAGTGTCAAGATACAAGGATCTCAAAACTGTAAGGGCCTTAAAAAGATGGAGGACTGTGAAAAATTGTGTTTCTGAAGTCAATACTGTAGGTAGGCCAACTTCCAGTCTTTCAGGGCCGAAAAACAGATATTTCACTATTTAAATACTTGTGTTTAAAGTGGGGGAGGGGGAGAATATTGGGCAAGTGGAGGCTTTTTAAAGGAATGTGAAAGTGATATTGAGCTCAATTTATTTTGTTTACTACAGAGCTTGAAAACTCTGTCCTGACATCTGGATGCAACAAACTGCTAGAAGGTGATTACAGAATGTGATGGTACCAGCCAACCTGTGAGATCAGAGCTGCATTACTGCTGGCAGGGGCAGGGAGGCTGTGAAATGCATGAGTGTGAGAGCAGCTGCCAAAGGAGAATTTACTGGTGCACCACAAACACAGGGCTGGTATTGTTTACAACAGTCTGCAGGTTAAGCTACGGAGTGAGAGCAGCAGAGACCTTCCACATGACAGATGAAGAGAACAGGAAAATGTTGCTACAAAGCTCATTGCTGTAAATCATGAGGATGAGTTTAAAGCACGTCAGTAGGTATGGGTCTCAAAGTGGGCTCTTTTATTTACCTGCAGATAGAATACCCACGGATCCAGGGGAAGCCAGTGTAAACTGTTGGGATTTAAACTGTTTCAAAATCAGATCATTACTCCTCATCAAGCTTGCATAATGATGATGGCTGTGGAAGACACTGCAGGAGAGACTTGCTGTAGGATGGAAGAATCTAGCAAGTGTGCTAGCAGCCCTTCTCAGGCATTAATATGTGTAAGGCATTACATTGCAGAGAACACAGGATTTCCATCCGAGTGGGTGTTTGATCTCAGCACTGAAAGGGAACAGAAGAGCCCTAGCAGAGGTAACAGGGCCCCTCAAAGGAAACTACATCTGATATGTGCATGCTCTTTTCTGATGTCCTGCAAAACATCTGCCAATTAAACAGAATAACTAAAACTGAGGCCAAGGTAAGAGGGCTTAAAGAGATACTCATGCCCAGCAGCAGGAGGCTGGAGTCTATTGTTAATGCTTGCTAGAGAGAGACAGAAAAAGGAAAAGCCCTTTGCTCCGAAGCTTTGCTTTATGGGGGTACAAAAAAAGTGTTGTGTGAGCCAGGGGGGAAAAAGGAGGTGAGTGCCTTCATCAGATACAGCATGTGTGGGAGGCAGGAGTGGGTAGCAGCTGGGCTGGGTTATATCTCAGAGGAGGAGTAAGCTGCTCCCCAAATGCCCATCTCCCAAGCAGGCTTCAGCTCTGGTTCCAAGGGCTTAAATCAGGAGAGAACAATAATTGCTGGGACACTGCTCTGCCACACTGAGCTCTGTAGCTGTTTGGGAGTGTGTGAGCGCTGCCCTGTGCCTGGGCTGGACAGGCACTTCCCTGCTGTAGCTCCTGCCCAGGCCTGGTCCAGTCCTGTTGCAGTCAGAGCCCAGAGGAGCGTTTGTGCACCTTGCACAGGCAATCACAAGTCTTGAAGACAGAGACCAGGACATACAGTTTCCTCCCATGAGCACCCTGCAGCAGTGAGTGGGAACAGAGGAGTGCTGTGCCCATGCAATGGCTCAGTGAGCCTCTATTTCCTTCCCTTCCCCAGACCAGCTGTCACCCAGCCAGGGGGAGCAGATGTAGCAGTCTGAGCCACCTTTGTCAGAGGTAAAAGAAAGGTGAACATTGGTTTATTCTGAGGCAGAGGGGTCTGTGATAAAAAAGACAAAAGATTACCTATTAATTATTCAACTAAAGTTCGCTGTATGTCTGTTTGGTTGGCTGCATGGAAAAGAAGTCTGTGCTTTTAATGAGTATTCCACCAAGTGTAATGAGAGGCGATGGAAAGACAGTGAAAGGTGGAAGGATGGAGGAGATGCACCAGAAAACATCCCACAGGAGAAGGTGCTTTCACTGAGGAAGTGCTGGGAATCCCCTTGCCCCAGATAAAAGCTGAGGAAGGCAGATACTAGCTAAATAATTTTTTGCTGACAGATCGTGATCTAGGCAATGAAGAGTTTCTTTTACTCATCTCACCCTGTGAATTATTTAAGTGGACTTTGTACATGTGATAGCACTCTCACACAAGCTGTTGATTTAATCCCACTGTGCCGAGACAGCTCTTGGTGCCAGGCACGGGGGGGCCACAGTCTGTCCCCAGTGACGTGACTCTGGGTGCTCACACTCCAACCTCTGTGGTGATCCAACGAGCCAGGAACAGTTGCTGCCAAGTGTTGCATCAACTTCGCCATACAAGTGACCAACAAAGTGCTGAAAAACACTTTTTTTTCCCCCTTGTAACAGCAAAACTTACTTACCATGTAAAACTGCGGTTAAGCTTTATTAAGTGATTTGTTCTGATAGAGTTCATACATAGCCTGTGAGAGCTCCCCCCACCACGGTTATGTTTTAGCCAAGGGCTGAAGGGCACGCAGGGCCTGAGTTTTCGAAGGTGCCTGTCCAGGAAGCAGAAGAGGAAGCAGTGGCTCTCTACAGAATATCCCAAACAGCATTCCACTAGTTTAAATGCAAATCAGGTAATAATACACTTAAACCCTCACTTCATCTGAAAGTCCTGTTTCAGTCTGCATAATGCATGTCCTAAAACTGAACTCAAAGGGGACCCGACTAAAAACTGAAGGGTTGTTTTTTTAATACTGTTCTGTATAAAATCACACATTCTCACCTCTTTGACACTTCTTTTCTATATTGAAACACAGCTTCAGTGTTTCATAAATGCATCGAAACCCTACCCAATCAAAAGAAGATACTCCATGCTGTTAATAGCATATCAGAAAAAGCTCAGATTAAAACTGAGCTTTCTGAATATCAGACAAACCAGATGAGTTTGCGGCAGTGCAGTGTTTCTCTGTCAGTCTTTGGCACTGCTTTTTTCCTGTGGATTCCAGTATGGGAGCCAGGCAAGCTTGCCAGCTCTGCTTCTCCACTTTTCCTCTGCCCCTGGGCCCAGGTGGGGTGGGCTGTACAGCTGTTTGCCAGAAGGGCAGAACCACAGGGCTCCTTCCCCTCAGTGTGCCTAGAGAAACATACACAGTTCTTCTGCAGACTTTACATCCCAGTTCACATCCTCAGCTTTCCTAGCCAGCCACTCCTGGGATAGGACCAATTATTTAATTCCCCAGTCCCATGACAGATCTTACAGTGTTAGTCCAGCCTTTCTCACTTTTCTCCTTCTAAGTTAGAGACCAGGCAGTTATTTTTTTTTTGTCTTTCCTAGTCCTGAAGCTGCAGGGTATCGTCAGACTCCACAACAATCCCCATATTTGACATGGTTTGAGGTGCTCCAGAAGAAGGTAGAAACATGACACTTCACTGGGATGTTGCCTCAAGATTGAGAAACCAGAAGGTAAAGAACTCCATGTGCAAGAACTCCAGTTGCCCTTATGTTGATCTTGTGCTTTGAAGCAGAGCTGACTAATGGTTCCTGGAGGATGTTTAAAGGAAGAATAAATTGGACCACTTTTCTCCCAGAACTGTATATCAGAATTTGCACTGAAGGGCTAATTTAGCTTAATTGGAACAACTTTAAGTTTGATCTTTTAAATGACTAACATATGACTTACAATAATTATATCTTTCTATGAGCAAACCATTCTATTTCTCAAAACAATTCCATTTCATTGACATAAACACACATCCCTTCCACAGTAATGTCAGTCTCCTCTCACAGCTGCAGGTGCTGAACACTGCACACTTGGTTAACTTCTGGAGTGATCTGTGTAAAACTTTCAGACCTGACACCTCAAACCTGACACGTCGTTGCATTTGCCTTGCTGATGGAAACCATACCTGTCTGTAAATCCCAACCCTAGTAAAATTAAAATTTAAGAAAACCCAAATGAATGTCAACGCTTCTCATTAATTAACCTCATTTGCCCATTTTCATGTGTAAAACATAAGCTCTAGCTCTGATCAGTTACTTCTCACCTTCATCAGGTAGTAAAAGAGAAGGGTTCATGTCACTGATGTGTGAGAGGGTGATGCTCAGAGATGCCATAGGAGATGTGTGAAAGGAAACCAGAACAACATCTAATTTCCCTGTGGTGCCTTAGATTCAACTCACAGATACTTGGACTGCAGGTTTAAAGTTACCCACTATTTCCAGTGCCCGATGAACCTGTTTGTATCTGAGCACTCTAATCTATATCCAACATCAGTTCAAAGGGTTTAACATTATTTTTAGGCAAGTAATGCTAACTCACAGAGTGAATAAATATGATGCAATACGTTCCATTAATTTTCTGTTGCAGCTTTGTAACTCTGCAAGCCACCTGATGCACAGACTGTTTGTCCCATCATATGCAAATAAGTACTTACTATACCAAAGGTCCCTCTTCCCTCTGCTCTGGGCTGCATTATAATGATCATGCTATGTCAGATTGCCAGGCAAGGGTAATTTGCTTTCTTTTCCCTTTTTTTCTGTTTGGAATCAGGATAATATTAATGCTAAGATTACCTTAGATAAGGAGTTCATGCTGCTATGCTCTCAGTAGTGTAGGTTTTACTCAGAAATTTGTGCTTCCTGATGTTTTGGGCAGGACATTAAGCAGGCAGCAACACCGATCAAACCTCCATATTGAGTCTGAAATGCTGAGATTTGTATTTGGAAGAATAATAGTTGGAGCTGGGGAAATCTAGGAAGGTGTCAGAGGAGAATTGGAGAGCAATATTTACCTGAACTGGTTAGTGTCTTTGAAGTATTGCTGTAACGCGGTGCACGTTTAACACTTGATGTAAACATGCATCAGTTGTAAATGTTCTCCTACACTCTTGTTGTCCCTTTCAGGCAGATCACCCCAGCCAGCATCTGTGAGGCCCTTGCACTGAGAATGCAGCAGTTTAGAAAAGAGCTGGGAGGGCAGCTGGAAGGTGTTTGC